TTCGAAATAAGCTAGCTCGAAATAATGCATCTAGACACAAAAACTAATTCGAAATAGCGTTTTTCTAATTTGATATAGCGCGTCCACATTGAGTGGACCCTGAATCAAAGGTAAGACTGGCCGGAACCAGTGCCAGCAAGGCATCAGGGTCAGACTTAGTGTGTGGGGCTGCTGCCTCAGGCTAGCCGAGGTCTGTGCTTAAAGGGGCCTGACTCCTGATCCCGGATAGACAGTTCTCAGGTTTCTCTGCTTGCTGGTCTACCTTGCTGAGGGACAGCAAAGCATTTGTGTCTCGGGGTGCTCTGCTTACCCTCACTCGGGACACCACGGCACTCTGCAACATGGAACCGGGGACTCTGCTGCATCTTGTGGACACGTTGCCAGCAGCCTGGCTGCACTCTCTGCAGGCTGCCATCCGGGAGGACCATCGAGGGGCTGCCAGGATCCAGGGGGCCATGTGGGAGAGTGTCCACCCTGAGGAGTACTGAGAGTCTCCCCGGTCTGCCCCGCTGGGGGCTTGTTTCCCATTCCTCCCTCTTGTCCTTCCACTTAGTCTTCCCTAGCCCCCCCTATTTACACGTATTTTCAAAAATATAACCTATCTTTATTTAACACAACTGGGGAGGGGGAATGAAACTCTGGGGATGCGGGGGAAAGGGGGCGGGAGAGGGCAGGAGAGAGGGTGGAAGAGGGGAGGGGGAAAACTGGGAGGAGGGAGCTGGAACGGGGAAGCAAGAGGAAGAAGCGGGAAGGGAAGCTCAGGGCTGGGGGTCTTGCTGGGCCAACTGACTCCCAGCATGGTGGGGAAGGGTGCGGAGGTTGGTGTGGGGGGTGTGGACATTGAGGAGGAGGGTGTGGAGGTTGAGGAGGAAGAGATGGGAGGGGGGCAGTAGATGGGGGGGCATCAGGCACAGGACCAGCACAGGGCACCATGCTCTGCAGCAGGGCTTGCAGGTTAGAATTCATCGCTCGGTCCTCAGCAAGCTGCTCCCAGTGGAGCTGCATATCCTCCAGCATCCAGGCATGGATGGTGCGATGCAGGGCTCGCAGGGCCCCCAGGTGCTGGTCCCAGTACTCCCTCCGGGTGCTGGTGGTCCGGAGGAGACTGCGGGTGCAGGAGCATGTCCCGGGCGGGGTGGTGCACCCTGCACGAGCAGCTGGTGCAGCTGTAGAGAAAGAAGAGAAGTGGTCAGTTCTCCCTGGGGACACAGTGGATTATGCCCAGCCCCCACCCGCCCCCAGTGACGTGAGGGCGACTGTGCCCTGCACCGTCAGAGCCACTGTGCTTGCACAGAGGCCATGATCGGGATGTCTGGCTCTCCCCGGGACTGGGAGCTGCCCCAAGAATGCACCCATCTCCCTGTACCATGTATAGTGTGGCCAGGGCGGGGAGGAGATGTCCCCTGCCTCTGTGTAGAGGGGGCGGGTGAAGGAAGAGCATCCTGCTGGGTCCCACCCCGGGGTTGGGAGCATGTCAGGTCTCTTCACACATGCATGTGCCTATTGGGCCACAGCCCCTGGGTGTCACACAGCTGGAGCCACCTGTCCAAGGGTTGCATGGCACATGCTCGCATGTGCACAGGTAGCTGCATGATCTGTGGGAGGCATGGCCCACGCACACATGGTCCCTGGTCTCCCTTTCCACCTCCCACCCGGGTAGGGGACAGTGCTGGCACTTACCTTGTATGGCCTCCCTGGACGACCCTGCCGACTCTGGTGCCGGGACAGCTGGCGGTGGCCCCTCCGGTCCCAGCTCGCTGCCTCCCGTGCTGGTGCGGACCGCCCCACCCCCCAGGAGTTGGTCGAGTGTGGGGAAGTAGGGGCAGGTGGCAGCCCCTGCTGCGGCGCCGCCCCTGGTTGCCCTGGTGTACGCCCACCGCAGCTCTTTCACCTTCAGCCTCACCTGCTCTTGGGTGGCCATGATGGCCACTATGCAGCCATAGATGGCCGCGTTCCTCCGCCAAGTGCGGAGATCATGGAAGTTGGGGGCCTCCCCCCAAATCTCAATGAGGTCCATGATCTCTGCACTAGTTCACGAGGGCGCATGCCATCTACGATCCCTGGCTGGCTCCTGGGTGCTGGGGGACTGGGCGGGGGAGAGCTGGCTGGCACTGGCTGACTGGCTCATCCTGGGGCCACTGGATCAGGGGCAGAGACTGCTGGCAGGCCTGGCTCTGGCAAGTGCCATCTGGCCAGAGTCTACCCCTTTAAGGGCCCCAGGGCTAGAGGAGAGGAGAGGAGTTTTCCTGGTTTGGCCCAGACTGGCCACCAGGGGGAACTGGGAAGGGCTGGAGGCCCCCTAATTTGAAATAAGTGTCTACACAGCACTTATTTCAAATTAGCTATTTCGAATTAGGTGTTATTCCTCATAGAATGAGGTTTACCTAATTCGAAATAAGGGTTCCACTATTTCGAATTTATTTCAAAATAGCGGTTTGTATGTGTAGACAGCTATTAAAGTTAATTTGAAATAACGTCTGTTATTTCAAATTAACTCTGTAGTGTAGACATACCCTGTCTGCCTGTCTGTTTGTCCAAGAACTCCTCTAAATGGTAAGAGATAGGCTCAGTATGCAGCTTCTTCTTTTCATCACTTAAACCAAGGTAAAGGTTTGGTAGTGCACCAGGAAAATGGGATGTGCCTGGAAAGGGATTGCATCTGACAGAGCCATATAGAAAAGAGACAGAATCACCAGGCAGGTGAAAGGGGCTGTCTGGGGGCATCTCCCTCCTGCTTCTAGGACTACTGCAGCCTTAGCCTCCCACCCCTAAGGCATCATTTATAGAAAGCGGGAGCTTCAGGGGATACTGCCTGCTGTTCCCCTTCATTGGGAGCCAGGGAAAAGTGCATAGTGTGCTACATTCCTCACTCTGGCTGAGGCGAACAGGTGTCAGATGAACCTGGGCCTGCCCCATCTGAGAAAAATGCACCCCTCTCTTGGCTGTGTCTGCTGGAGCTGCAGCAGCCATGGAGAGGCACTTCTCACCTGGCCCTATCTGCTGTGGAGAGAGAGAACAGGGGTAGTCCTCTCTCCCCAAGACAGCCTGCATTCTGAACCCCTCTTCTCCAGCCCCACCCCAGAGCAATGATGTAAATAAAGAAAAACAAAAATTAATTAAGTTCAGGATCTGAGCAATGCTGGGTAAATCTTCTAGTATCTTAAATAAAAGAACTATAAAAACAGAAATAGGAATTCCCTTCAATTCTCACTGCTCATTTAAACAATAGAGCTGATTTGCATCTCAGAGTGGTATAATATCAAGACTAATACCACAATGGACAATGGAAACACAATGATGTAAATAACGTTAGGGTCCCTCATAGAGCCTGATTCTAATCTACACTCGAATGAACAAACACAACTTCCACTTCCTAAAAAAAAACAAAAACTGAATTTGATTAAACTTCATTCTTTGAAATCACCTGGTGACATGACAAGAGCTTTGCCTCAGTCCATTTCTGCTGCCTTCACTTCATTAGACAAGAGAAAATACAATATTTTGCAGTTGCAGATGAATGAATCAGTTTGGAATGAAATACAGGAAGGAGAATGTAGTTAACGGAAACAGAATCATTCAGTGATTGTGCTGCACCAGAAAAAGTATTTTCTTGTGTGGAGGGGGGGAGGAGGGGGAAGAGGGACAATAGAGCTAGGTTGATCAGATGTCCCAGTTCTATAGGAGCAGTCCTGATATTTGCAGCTTTGTCCAATTAACTCCAGATGTTTGATGCCTATCAGTGTTCCCTGTAAACTGAGTGCTTGGGCAGCCACCCAACAGATTAGCAGACCACCCACAGCCTTTAACACATGTTTCTACTTGTGGTGCAGAGCCACACATGTCTCCGGTGCACATAACAAAATTTATTCTGCACATGACTTAAAAAATTAGAGGGAACATTGGGGGCTTACTAACCTCCATCTGGCCCTGATTTTTCACACTTGTTACCTGGTTAGCCTAGGGGGGGAGCAGCATTTTTAAATTTATGTTAACAGAGAATAAATAGAAGGCAAGAAGATTATAAACCTCATTATTGAGTCTGATGACCACCACTCTAGCAACAGAAAGCTTTCATACTATCCTTACTGGGCCGCTGGCGATTCCTCTGGCATGGGGTAATTCCAGGGTGGCATGAAGTCAATCTAGCCGCTACATTCCATCCCCTTCTTCCCATCCACTCATAGCTCATGGTGAGTTATTCTAGAGGCAAGAGGAACATGGATGAAGCATGACGTGCTCCAGCAATCCTGAACTGGTTCAATGGCTGACGGGGGCCATTGCAGGCTGCCATACATTAGTGTGGCCATGAAATTGCCCTAGTTTACACTAGAGACTAAACTGGATACCTGGCTCCCATAGTGAAGATATATTGTGCAAGTCCCACTGTCCAAGCCTCAGGTTCTGAACTAATCGTAATTCAGTCAGACCTAAGCTAGATTTGGACAAAAATAGATAAAGAAGATACCAGAATTCACCCCAAATTCAAACAAACAAAACAAATAAACAAAAAATTAAGTCACTATTTAAAAGAAGAAAAAATCACAGAGCAAATGCCATGAGATAGGCTTTCCAACCCAGCTGAAAAAAAGAAAAGGAAACTTTTCTTCAATGTATAGAGCTGCTATATCTTTTTCATTTTGAATAGTAATAGAGAGGTAGCAGTGTTAGTCTAATCTTTCTAAAACAAAAAGAAAAACTATGTAGCACTTTAAAGACTAACAAGATGGTTTAATAGGTGATGAGCTTTCGTGGGTCAGGCCCACTTCTTCAGATCATATTCTGGAAGAGAATTGGCATGACCAGATGTAAGCAGGGGCTGAACTGCTGCTTGCTGTCAGCCAACTAAAAGGAGCGGTGGGTGTGCCCACTACAGTTGTTTAGCTCTGCAAGGTAATTAACTGTTAACTGTTGACATGTAAATACTGCTCAGGAGAGAATCCAAGGTGTGGCTATGTAAATCCCATTCAGCCAGGGCTGATGGAAGGTCAGTGTTGGAATGGAATGTGGAGAATTGTATATAATTTGAGTTGCTGTTGTGGGAAATAATTGTGATTTGTATTTGAGGAAATTACTGTTTGTATCATGGCTTGTCTGTCAGGTTTGTTGGGCTCTGGCTCAGAAGCCTCTAGCTCAGAGGCAGCAACCTCAGCAGATGATTGGGCAAAAGCCATGGGGCAAATCTTGGAGAAATGTGTGCTATCCCATGCTATGGCAAGCTCCTATTGTAACTTAAGATTATTCCATGGGGAAGAGGAGTTTGAACCCTGGCTGGAACACACCACTGAAATCCTAGAGCAGTGGGCTGTCCCAGACGGAGAAAAACGAAGATGTTTAGTAGACAGTCTCCGGGGCCCAGCTTTAGATGTGATTCGCACCTTGAAGCTCACTAACCCTGAGGTCAGTGTAAAGGACTGCCTAGAGGCCCTCACTCGCACCTTTGGGAGCATGGAGGGTCCTGAAGACAGTTTTTGTAACTTTCTCAATGCTAAGCAGCACCGGGGAGAGAAGGTCTCAGCCTATGTACAGGGGTTGGAGAGGCTGCTGCAGAGAGCTGTCATTAGGGGAGCCGTGACTGCTGAGCAGATGGACCAGACCAGATTGGCTCAAATTGTAAGAGGAACTGCATATTACAGCCCGATTCTACTATGCCTCCGGCTAAGAGAACAACAGGAACACCCCCCTACATACTCCCAACTGATAAAGGAGGTCGAGAGGAGGAAGAAAGGCAAGCTTCCAGTGGGCTTTGGGAGGCCCAGATGTTGAAGCCAACCAGCGCTGCACCCCGACAAACAGCCGGCGTGCTGGTCGTGAACACCAGAGGAGACATTGCCCAGCAAGTTCAGGTCCTGACAGAACGGATTGCTGAGTTGCAGAGAGCCATTGGCCAAGCAAGGATTTGCAGGGATGAAGAACCTCAGGCTGTGGTGATGGAGAAGTCAGCGCCTGGAGCTGCCATCTCACCCAGCCGAAACAGGAAAGGAACATTCTTCTGCTACCAGTGTGGTCAAGATGGGCACAGGGCTGCACGTTGCCAAAATGAGGAAAACCCCAGTTTAGTTTATGGAAAGCTGAGAATCAGTCACGAGACGGTCGGGGGACAGGGACAACCCAGGCCCCCAGGATTTGACAGATTCCCCAGAAAAGACCACTCATCTAGGATCCCTTCAGGACTGATAGGGCCTCGAGCAGAGGTCACCGTAAGGATTGAAGGGGCAGAGTGCAAAGCAGGGCTTGATACCGGATCGCAGGTGACAATTATATTCCAGTCATTCTACCAACAGATGCTCAGGCACCTGCCTATCCAGCCATTGACTGGCCTTGGCCTGTGTGGTCTCAGCATGAATGAATATCCCTACAAAAGGTATGTCATAGTGCATTTGGAATTCCCTGAGGCGGTGGCAGGGGTAAGAGAAGAGGTGGACACAGTAGCCTTGATATGCCCCAACCCTAAAGGGGTCCCTGATGTGTCGGTGCTGATAGGGACCAACTCCAGTCTCTTCAAGGTGCTCGCAGAATACTGCAGACGACGGGCCTGAGGGGGCACCAAAGCCGAGTGAGCAGAGTAGTTAAAAAGGTGCGGTAGGTACTGATAGTGCGTGGACACTGGCATCCCAATGTACTGATCCCTGAGTGCAGTATATACCAAAGGAATACAATGAAAAAAGTGAACACATTATTAAACTGACAAATCAGATTTAGTACAGAAGGTGGGGTGAGGGAGAGAAAGGGAGCGAGGGAATAGCTATTTATGAGTCAATGAATGCCTAATCAGGGATGATAAGTTAATTAGCATCTTTGTTAAGGCCCATTCGTAAAGTGTCAAATTTAAGCATGAATGAAAGTTCTGAAGTTTCCCTCTATAGTCTGGTGTTAAAGTCTCTTTGAAGTAAGAAGCATGTAGTAAGGTCATTAAGACTATGTCCAGGTAGGTTGAAATGAAAAGCAACTGGGTTTTCCTTGTGAGGATGTCTGGTTGGGGATGTATATGAAATGATGGAATTTGAGGAGGGAAGAAGAAATAATGCATGATTATTTTGGAGGGAGCAGGAAGATTATAGAATGATCAGTTTGGGGAAGCCTGTTAGTCTTTTATCCAGGGAATTACAAATGTAACACTGACTAAGACACAGAATTTTTGAGAATCATGGCTTTCATGCAGAAAAGTCATTTTCCCCTGAACATTTCTAACACATAGCAGAGGACACAAAAGGCCATATATTTGTATAAAATGCAGATTTTTCTAATATGTGAGAGATGAGTGACAAATGAAGCCCTACACATTTTATCCAGTGTCGGCTTCCTCCTCTCTTGGATCTGGGAACTACTCCAAAACATAGAATCATAGAATAATAGGACTGGAAGGGACCTCGAGAGGTCATCGAGTCCAGCCCCCCGCCCTCAAGGAAGGACCAAGCTCCGTCTACACCATCCCTGACAGATGTCTATCTAACCTGTTCTTAAATATCTCCAGAGAGGGAGATTCCACCACCTCCCTTGGCAATTTATTCCAATATTTGACCACCCTGACAGTTAGGAATTTTTTCCTAATGTCCAATCTAAACCTCCCCTGCTGCACTTTAAGCCCATTACTCCTTGTCCTGTCCTCAGTAACCAAGAGGAACAAATTTTCTCCTTCCTCCTTGTGACACCCTTTTAGATATTTGAAAACCGCTATCATGTCCCCCCTTAATCTTCTTTTTTTCCAAACTAAACAAGCCCAGTTCATGAAGCCTGGCTTCATAGGTCATGTTCTCTAGACCTTTAATCATTCTTGTCGCTCTTCTCTGTACCCTTTCCAATTTCTCCACATCTTTCTTGAAATGTGGCGCCTAGAACTGGACACAGTACTCCAGCTGAGGCCTAACTAGTGCAAAGTAGAGCGGCAGAATGACTTCACGAGTTTTGCTTACAACACACCTGCTGATACAACCTAGAATCATATTTGCTTTTTTTTGCAATAGCATCACACTGTTGACTCATATTCACCTTGTGGTCCACTATGACCCCTAGATCCCTTTCCGCCATGCTCCTTCCTAGACAGTCGCTTCCCATCTTGTATGTATGGAACTGCTTGTTCCTTCCTAAGTGAAGTACTTTGCATTTCTCTTTATTAAACCTCATCCTGTTTACCTCTGACCATTTCTCTAACGTGCTAAGGTCATTTTGAATTATGCCCCTATCCTCCAAAGAAGTTGCAATCCCACCCAGTTTGGTATCATCTGCAAACTTAATAAGCGTACTCTCTATCCCAATATCTACATCATTGATGAAGATATTGAACAGTACGGGTCCCAAAACAGACCCTTGCGGAATTCCACGTGTTATCCCTTTCCAGCAGGATTTAGCACCGTTAACAACAACTCTCTGACTACGGTTATCCAGCCAATTATGCACCCCCCTTATCGTGGCCCTATCTAAGTTATATTTGCCTAGTTTATCAATAAGAATATCATGCGAGACCGTATCAAATGCCTTACTAAAGTCTACGTATATGACATCCACCGCTTCTCCCTTATCTACAAGGCTTGTTATCATATCAAAGAAAGCTATCAGATTAGTTTGGCATGACTTGTTCTTCACAAACCCATGCTGGCTATTCCCTATCACTTTATTACCTTCCAACATGACCTGTTACTCTGTCAAATGTATTGGTAGGCAGACACATCCTTCCTTCAGTCACTATCGATGGCTTTAGTGGCCTAGAAACAGACACTCCAAAAGCGACAGCTTAAATATTCTACAATATTTGAGAATTTATTCTGATTAAAGCCATGTGTCTCCAGATTGTGCCTCTTTGAAAACAGTCTATAACCAGCAACACTGAGCAATGCCTGAGTGCACATAAAATAATGACTGGCGACAAGCATAAAGGTGTGAGTTTTCTCCTCAGCAGTGGTGAAAAAAGAAACCAAAGTGAAAATGGACTGAAAAAGAATACATCAGCCTGTGATTATATTGAAAAAATGATCTTGTTAAGGAAAAACTATTTTAGGAAAGCTAGAGTTCTTGCTGTCACATTATTACATTGATCACCCAAGCTGTGAGTCAGGTTAGCATACAGGCAGTCCCCGGGTTACGTACAAGATAGGGACTGTAGGTTTGTTCTTAAGTTGAATCTGTATGTAAGTCGGAACTGGCATCCAGATTCGGCCGCTGCTGAAACTGACCGCCAGTTCTGACTTATATACAGATTCAACTTAAGAACCCCAAGCATCCCCAAGTCAGCTGCTGCTGAAACTGATCAGCGGCTGATTCCAGGAAGCCTGGGGCAGAG